CCCCCGGCAACTCTGCCCCCACCCCCGGGGGCCCTGCCCCCCCACTCGGCCCCGCCCCCGCCGGCTCCCGCTCTCCGGTACCTGAGGCGGCTCCAGCTCCGTCTCCCCCCGTCTCAGCCCCTAAAGTGTCGAACACACAAACAGCTGCTCTCAACCAAACCTTCCTCTGGTGGGCGGGGTTAAGCGGCGGCGGCGCCAATCGGTGCCGGGCACCTGGCGAGGGGACACGCCCCTGGCAGCCGTCTCGCCCAATTGCCGCTCCGGAAAACGCATCGCCGGCCCAGCCAACTCGATTGACCAATAAGAGCTCAGAAATGGCCGGACAGGCGCAAACTTTGGCCAATAACGACTGGAGCAGCTTGGAGCCTATGGACCAATAAAAAGAAAAAACGTCATGGTAGGGGGTGGCTCTTATGTTAACTGACGGATCCTGAGACCAATGAAACAGCAGTTGTTCCGGCGGCTGCAGCAACAACAAATAAGGTGACCTAAATGGGCGGCACCCTCGAGCTCCACTGTCCAATCAGAATCAGGAATGATCTCCCCTCTTTCCAATCACAGAGCAGACAGCCTCCAGCTTTACCAATCTGAGACCAGAAAGCGATGATTGACAGGCGTCTCACCCGCCCTATTCTGGCCAAGCAAAGGACGGCCCGCTTCCCCGCTGGCCAATCCGAGACGAGCCGGGGAATGATTGGCAGGGTGCGGGGGAGAAGGCAAGGGTGAAGGCCTCTGGGAATCTGACCTTTGACCTCGGCATGAACCTCTCCCCAATTAGCTTAATTGAGCTAAAAATAGACCATGGTTCCGGGGCTCAGAGACCGGGGGCGGGGCCCAGGGGGGGTATCTAGGGGGTGGGGCCAGGCACCAGGCGCCCAGGGGGCGGGGCCTAGGGATGGGGCGGGGCCTACGGGCATAGCTGAGATAAGGGAGGGGCCTAGGCAGGTAACCCAGGGAGGGGCCTACAGGTGTACCCCAGAGAAGGGTGGGGTCCAGGCACCAGGCGCCCAGGGGGCGGGGCCTAGGGATGGGGCGGGGCCTAAGGGCATAGCTGAGATAAGGGAGGGGCCTAGGCAGGTAACCCAGGGAGGGGCCTACAGGTGTACCCCAGAGAAGGGCGGGGTCCAGGCACCAGGAGCCCCGGGGTCTGACACCTCACAGGGCAGGGGCCGAGTCGCCAGCAGCCAGCCTGGGCAGGCCAGGCGGAGGGGGCACGTTGCCCATGTGGGGCAGGCCCGGCTCAGCTCCCCACTGCGCCAGGTGCTGCGTAAACACCAAAAAGTTGGCCCCTGCCTCCCAGAGCTCACAACCCTTCTGCAAAAATGGCAGCTGCTAGGCCAGAAAGGGTGCAAAAGGAGGGAAGGCCGTAGGTGGGGACCAAGGGGTGGGCCGGGAGCCCAGGGTTTGTATAGTGGGGGGGGCTGCCCCTTGCAACATTGCCAGAGCTAAGGGGAGCTTCGTCCAACAGCTGTACACCTACGTAAGGCAGCGTTGTTAGCCTATTGTCCTCAGCACTAAAATCGCTCCGCTTTTTAAACCACTGACAAGGCCCCAGGGAAGAACTTGCACTTTCCCAGATAAACTTAATGGACCCTCGTCCAGGCGTGCACGGCCCTGGTACTAGTCTGCTTATGCTCTGTCAGCTGCTGGCTCTCATCTTGCATTGTAAGCGCTTTGGAGCAGGGGCTGTTTGCAGCACCTTGCGCCATGGGGGCCTGGCCCATGACTAGGCGCTCTTAAGCCCAGAGCCTGACAGGTAGTGGAGTGGCCCATTGCCATTGAAATCAGTGCCTAACGCCCACTTAAAGACCTTTGTGGCTGTGGGCCTGGGTGACTTGCCCAAGGTCTGTAGCAGACCTGGGAACAGAACCTGTTTCTAAGTGACCTACCCACTGGACAGGACTTCCTCTCTCACCTCATAGGAAATATTTTCTTCTGTAGCTACCCCCCCTTTGAAGAAAATCACATTCACAACAAGTTAAAACTAAGAATATTTTTAATGATTTATAAACCAATCCCATAATATTATTAACATTTGGTAAGAAACAACAGCCTACAAAGAATTACAAAAATCAAGGACGACAAATATATTCGAGGGTTTGTTTTTTAAAAATATTCACTTACAAAAACTCCACAGTGCTTGTCTAACAAATTTTATACAAATCCAGAGCTCTGCTTTAAAACTAACACAGCCTTATAAATATTCCCCTATTTGTTCCAGTCCAAAAAAAATATATTTATGCTCCCAAATATTGTGTCATTATAGCTGTTAACCCGCATCTCCATCTCTCCCTCCCTCTGTTTTCATCATGAGTTGGCAGGAGCATTGTTTTGGGGGAATTCTCTTCCGCCTTCTGTAGCCATCGGCTCGGAGACTCAATTTCCCCTCACTCTTCAAACTGGTTCCCATCAGGCACTTTACGTTGCTGTCCTAACCCTACATTTTTCTTTAGGCAACTGAGAGAAAAAAAGCTAGTCTGCTGTGGAAGGAAATGAGACACAACCTTTCTGCTCTAAAGAAACTCAAGATACAAGAGCTCAAAATAGCTGCGATAGGAACAGAACCATTCTGACTTTTAACCCTCTCCTGGAAAAGGCCCATGTGGCTTATGAGTTAAATCCACAGCTTCCCTTAATGCTCATTCTTTTCCTGGAATATTCATGTGTACCTCTAAAATACTTTTATAAACAACCCTTCAATATAAAATGCTTTACTAGAAAATACACTAAGTCTGTTTTTAAATAGTCTATTCATCTATTGTCAACTGATCTCTTTTGGTTTAGATGTGGATTCCCCCTCCCCCCATCTCCTCTTTAAGCAGACCCCAAGAGTTTGGCGGTGGGCGGGTGACAGCAGCCCGCCATCCGCACCATGGGATGTTCCAGGCTTTTACAAATGGGGCTGTTTGTATGGAAACATTACCAGCTCATCTGAAACCGATCCCGTTACTCTGGTGGACGGGGCCCCTAGCACTAGCTGCTACCTCCGGGATCTCGATCGGAGCCTTACTGCCCATTCCCACACCCCATCTGCACGGCACTTAAAGGAAGCAATATCTGGCTGCCACCGAGGGCTGGGTGACGGGGCTACTTTCGAACACCTTTCCCCACCCTGCAGGACAATCGAAGTGGAAGACTGCTCCAACCCAGACTCAAGAGCACCCCCCAGCCCCTTGAGCTGCCCCTGCTTCCCTAGGATTGGGCCGTTCTTTGTGGATTTAAAATCAGATTCGTTGCTGGGAGGCCAAATCGGACCTTCCAGGGAAACGCAGACACCAGAGTGGCTGGGGAAGCCCACAGGAAAGGAGGCGAATTAAAATCTCAGGCTGGGTGCATGTGCCCATTTCAGAGGCCAGAGCCTCAGCTAGCATAAATACGCATCGCTCTGCTGAAGGCAGCGGCGTTTCACCGTCCGCACCAGCTGGGGATCTGGCCCCATGTGCCGGAGCCAGCCTTTCCACGGGCTGAAGCGCCTCTGGCATGGAAAGATCTGAGCCAAAGGAAAGTGACAAGGAGTCCCACCCCTCCGGGAGCCAGCCCTCCAGAGCGTGTGGGGAGCAGCCCGGCTGGTGGCTGGCACCAGCTCTAGAGAGGTGTACGTCAGATTCTGGGGTCAGATCCGTAGCTGGCAGAAACTGCCAGTGGAACCACACTGATCGACGCCCGCCGAGGATCTGTCCTCTTGCAGCGAACTTGGCCATAGGCAGTGCCACCGAATGAGCGGCCAATGACGCGGCGGGCGGAGAATCTATCGGAGGAGACTGCAGCACCATCAGGTTGGGGGCTCCTTTCGGGGACAAAGCCCTTTGCGGTCAAAGCCCTTCCGGGAGCAGAAAATTGGGGGGGGTGTCTTGCGGGGAGGCCAGGAGAAGAGCCAGCTGCAACAATCAGTTTCAGCTGCTGGGTTCCTGGTCCAGCACCCGGCGCAGGGTGAAGCCTTTAGAGCAAACCCCCTCCTGTGGGTGCAGATTCTCCCCGGAGCGGATGAGGAACCTGCTTCCCTGCAGAAGCTCCATGCATCAGGTCACACCTGGTGAGATGTTCTGTGGGGAGGAGGATGCCAGCGTAGGACGTGCGAGGGGCTTGGGCCCCGTCGGTCAACACCCATGGGACACGAAGGGGGGATGCTAAGTGAGCAGAGTTCCTGCTTAGGGTCAGGTCCTGCCAGGGAGGAGGGGAGCTGAGCAGGCCCCACACACTGCAGGATCAGCCCTTACAACACATGTTTCCTGAGCGGTTGGGAACGTGTGGGCCCCCCCGACCCAAAGAGCCGCTGGGGATTCTGGCCGCCAATCCGCAGGGTCCAATTTGCGGCAGGAACAGGAGTCACCAGGCGCACCGGCTGCAGCTCGAGTCCCTGGTGCAGCAGACTCCAGGGGGCTGGACAGGGAGCAGGCAGTGGGTGGGCGTGCGAGTTCACCGGGGCCAGCTGAGCGTATCTAGTTGGTAGGAGGGGATGGTTCCCCAGCCAGACCCGCCCTGCCTTCCACCCATGGAGGGGGGGGTTCACCCTGTGCTGGAGCAGGAATTCGGGGGGGCTCCGCTGAAGAGGCTCAGAGGGGGGCATGCCCAGGGAGGTGAAAGAAGGGGCTCAACCAGGCCAGCTGGGGGGGGACGCTCCCAGCTGCAGCGAGCAAGGTCCCATTGCTGGTGCTGGAAGCCAAGCCCTCCGGGGAGGGTCAAAGCTGCAGACAAGGTGCTCCAGCCAGGGCAACGGGGGCTGGGCTGGGGGGGGGGGTCGCCCCCTCCGTTCAGCACCCGCACGGCCGGGAGGCTAAGTGCAAGTCCGCAGGGGCAGGATGAGTCACAGGATCCCCAGGGCAGGCCCAGCGCCAGGAGACGGATCCAGATACAGGCACAGGCCAGACAGAGCCAGCGTGGGGGCAGCAGAGTCCTGGCTGGGCCGGCCCCCGCCCCGAAGCCACTTCACAAGCGCAGGTGAGGGACGGCCTTGGTGACGTCCCGGAAGAAGGGATGGTTCAGCGCTGACTTGGCCGAAATCCGCTTGTTGGGGTCGTAGTGCAGCATTTGCTGGGTAGGAGAGGGGGGGGTGGTTATTGTGGGTGGGGGACGGGAGAGGCGGGAACCCTGCCATTCCCATGGCAACTGTCATCCTGAAGCACCAAGGTGGGTGGGTCACACCCAAGGCTGTAGTGCAGCTGCCCCTGGGGTGGAACGTGGTAGTTGTTCCAACGCCACCGCTAAGGACAGGGAACGAGACGGAATCTCAAACCCT